GACACACTCTTTTTTTTTCTTTTCTTCTTGGAGAAGGGGAGAGAGGGCTTATGGTTCATCAAAACCTCGCCTGCCTGTGCGGTTGTGATGCACGGGTAGCCACGCTAATCAAAGAAATGTCAGCACCAATGTATTTTCTTAGTTATCTTCTGGAAAAAAAATGTGCTGGTTTTAATTATTCATCTGCATCAATTAATTATGGACACTTCTTGTCAAGTACGCTGTGCACAAACACATGCTTGACGATACATTACAAGTCTCGCTTTGTAGCTTAGCATCGATCCATTGTTCAGCTCTTTTGTGATTTATTTTTGGGATGTTTATACTTTGCTGAGATTTAAAAAGCACTGCAAATCAGAACAAATGACCCCTGATGTTAGAAAACTAGATTCAATCTATCGATATATTGTTAATTAATTTATTGTTAATTGTTGTTTTTAATTCTTGTTTATTAGGCTAAACTAACATATATAAATCAAATATAATTGTGTAAATTGCATAAACAATTATGAACAAAACAGCATCATGTATTTATGCATAGCTTAATACAAAAAGCCGAAGCGCCAATCAGACAGATTGCATTTAAAAACATATTAGATGCAGTGGAATGCAGTAAAACCCCCACAAATTCTCGAGACTTGTTTTCTAAAAGTTGAACCTCTTTCAACTTCACATGGCTTTCTATAAATCTTTTGTGTGAGACGCGAGCACAAGAGTCATAATTGTCCATCTCGAAAATGTGCAGAACATGCGTTCTGTGAGTGAATGGCTTGGTTTTGGTTTGAACCTAACCAAGATCTTCTCCACACTGAGCTTCTATATTTCTCTAATATTTTGAATGAAAAACGCAGCAGCAGCTAATCTTGTGGATTAGGGCTGCACAATTAATCGAATGCGATTGTCATGCGCATTTTGTTAAAAAATCCGGTTCCGTAATCAGCAGGAAATCATCATCACGTGCTTTCAGATGGAGCAGAATTTACTACATATAGCCGTAGTTCACTGACAAGTTACGCAAAAAAATCGCAGACGATTTTATTGCGCGATTCTGAAATCGTTCGTGATAATGACAGCTGTTTGCATAACTTCTCAGTGAGCTACGGCTCTGTGAAGTAAATGCTGCTCCATCTGAAAGCATGTGAAAATACCACATTTAATAACACATTTTTACTCCAAACTCACTTCATAACGTCAGTCGAGTGTTTGAAATAAATCCTTCTGTGAGATGATGTGGCTTCTTACACAGAATAAGGCACACAACATATTTCATAGTATTTAAGCAGTGATAAAGGCATTGCATTATAAATATACTTTATTTTAATGAAAATTATAATAATAAGAACTCAGATAAACCGTATATTGCCGTAGTCGTGTGTTTATTAGTCACGTTGAATCAATGAAAGCAGTTGAATCTTCTGTTTATTCAGCTGCAGCGATAGGCTTTTCTGGGTTTCTTCTGCGAGGCGTATTTGGAGTTTCAGCACGAGAGCGCCCTCTGGCCTTTGGATGGAGATTTACTGCTGATCACAGAACAGTGCTTCACTAAAAGATACGAATGACAATCGCAGCTTCTGTCGAATCTCGATTCCATTTCGATTTATCATGCAGCCCTATTGTGGATTCAACTTGATAGGCTAACAAAAACAGTAAAATACAACCACGACACATACATCATCATCACCGCATCTCTTGTGCTCCACTGATAAGGCTCCCGGATGCACACCAAAAATTCAAATGCACCGTTTTTCCATTCGAATGCAAATTTTTATTTTAAATTCGAATAATATATATATTTTTTATTCACAATCTCCTCAATGCAGGCAGGCACAGCACTCATTGTAACATGTGTCCGTGTGTTCTAATGTCACAGCTGCTTTTCACTCATAGTACACGCCTATATTGTGCATATATATATACACACACACACACACATTCACAGAACAGTGCTTCACTAAAAGATACGAATGACAATCGCAGCTTCTGTCGAATCTCGATTCCATTTCGATTTATCATGCAGCCCTATTGTGGATTCAACTTGATAGGCTAACAAAAACATTAAAATACAACCACGACACATACATCATCATCACCGCATCTCTTGTGCTCCACTGATAAGGCTCCCGGATGCACACCAAAAATTCAAATGCACCGTTTTTCCATTCGAATGCAAATTTTTATTTTAAATTCGAATAATATATATATTTTGTATTCACAATCTCCTCAATGCAGGCAGGCACAGCACTCATTGTAACATGTGTCCGTGTGTTCTAATGTCACAGCTGCTTTTCACTCATAGTACACGCCTATATTGTGCATATATATATACACACACACACACATTAAATGATTTTAGCAAATGGCTGCAATATAACATAGAGTGAAAAATTTAAGGGGGTCTGAATACTTTCCGTACCCACTGTATATGTGTGATATATGTGACCCTGGACCACAAAACCAGTCTTAAGTGTCAATTTTTTTAAATTTAGATGTATGTATCATCTGAAAGCTGAATAAATAAGATTTCCATTGATGTATGGTTTGTTAGGATAGGACAATATTTGGCCGAGATACAACTATTTGAATATCTGGAATCTGAGGGTGCAAAAAAATCAAAATACTGAGAAAATCTCCTTTAAAGTTGTCCAAATGAAGTTCTTAGCAATGCATATTACTAATCAAAAATGAAGTTTTGATATATTTACGGTAGGAAATTTACAAATTATCTTCATGGAACATGATCTTTACATAATATCCTAATGATTTTTGGCATAAAAGAAAAGAAGAAAAAAAAAAAATATATATATATATATATATATCTCAAACACTCTTTGACGATTACTGTAGGTAGCTACAAATGAAGTTAATATATAAAATGAAATGAATGATTTTCTAAAAAAAATTCTGTACATATTCTCTGATCAAATTCATAACTTTTTGGTGTGCGTCATACCTTTTAGTAATATGGTTGTCAGTCTCAAAAACTGTGTAGATTCAACACCTAAATGGATTCAAATATTGAGATATTGCAGTGAGATATCATCTTAGTGCCACCAAAGGAGAACATCTTGGTCTATTTCTGTTGTAACACCAAAATAATGGTGCCCATAAAATGTATGTGACATCTTGGCTTTAAGTGCAGTGCAGAAGAAACATCTCTGTTTGATGACTTCGCAGTGAAGAGTTCATTATCAGAAAGTTGAGCAGAGGTCAGGCATCTATCTGAAAAGTGTTCAAACAGAAGGTCACATTGATTCTTTCTGATGTGTTGGCAGTCTGTTTTTCATAATGTGTATGGATAATTTGAGTTGACTTATTTTGGTATGTGAGTCATCATTCAGTAAGTACAGGAATAAGGCTGATTTTGACACAAACATGTGAATGGAAGAATCTCCTTTAAGAGTATAACCTAGGCCGTCTTGTTCTGTCGTGGACTCTATAAGTGTAGTCCAGCTCAACGTATAGGTCTTTTAGAGAGTAAATTTGTCTCAGCAAAAAATCTCAGCAGAGCGTCTGGTTAGTCAAAAGGCTGTATGGCACAATTTAGGCTCTATTGTTTTCTTACAAAAAAGAAGTCTAGCATGACTTCATGGGAAATACAATTTAATGCTTATTTTCATGTACCACACAAAAATTAAGGCTTTGACATTCAGAGTTTTCAGTACACATCAATGTTGCTTGTATTCAGGGAAAAAGCATAGTACATGGTAACGTTTATTCTTTAGTCATTTTTGTACTCACTGTAAATGAATTTTCTTTACACTGAAAATAAAAAATAAATATGAGTATTTTTGTCTATTGTTCAAATATAAAAATATACTGTATATACACTACTGTTCAAAAATTGGAGTCAGTAAGATATCTTTAAAGAAAATTATGCTTTTATTCAACAAGGACACATCAGTTCAAAATGACTGTAGAGAAATTTATAATGTCACAAAAAAAGAGAATCTATTAAAAATGCTGTTCTTCAAATGTTCTCTTCATCAAAGAATCCTAAAAAAAACATATAACTGAAATGCATGATATATTAAAATAGAAAACAGTTGTTTTTAATTGTAAATAAATGCAGTCTGTCAACATGACTCTTCTTTTAAAAATGGAAAAAAAAAAAAATAGTAGTGTACATACTAAAAAAAAGGTCATTTTAATTTCATGAAAATTTGTTAGACTTGCATTACACAAGTAAGGTATAAATACTTGCTTTCAGATATTATATCTTGCATTATTTTTTTCTAACCCATTGTCAGATATTTTTATTGTTGTTGTTTCAATACAAAAATCTAACAAAGTTGATTCAAAATCATCAAAAATCGGCTAATTTTCTTATTTACAAAATGATAATATTATATTATACTATTATAATACTATATAATATACTATATACCGTTTAATAATAAATTTTTTTAGCTGGTTTTGTGTAATCACAGATCTAAAATAAAGAATAATTACAATGAATACAGTAATTTCATCTTTTAAATTAATGAGTTGTCATCTTGTTGCAAACGTCAATTTTCCTGTTACAGTTTGTAGCTCTAAGGGCTTTTTAAAGGGGAGAGGCACATTTAAGAAATGCAGTGAATTACTTTAAATTATGTCTAAGAGTCCTCAAGACAAGATGAAGGACGTTCTCTGACTTCAGTAGAATGGAACATCTTTTTTACAGGACGGTTCTTGCCTCAGATGCTTCTTGAAGTCTTCTGCTTGGGCTGTTCAATAATTACAATGTACCAGAAAAGATACTATATAATGGTCAGCAATCAGTGATGCTTCTGCAATTACAGGCTAAGGAAAGGACTAAGTGGTACAAACACCATCATATTGTCCAGGCCAAGGGTTTATTTTTATTTGTAATCTTAATTTTTGTGATTTAAATACATGATACTTGTCTTGTTGAAGGTGATTCGTTTATTTATTTATTTCAACTATTATTATTGTTTTATAAATACTTGCAAAGATCATGCAAGAAATTAACTTCTTTCTTCCTCTTTTTCTCATCACAGCTACCTCATCCCTAAACTCTCAGCTCCAGCATCTTCAACAGCTCCAACAGCTACAGCATCACCAGCAACAGCATCATCATCAGCAGCAACAGCAACGAGAACGAGAACTGCGTGAAAGAGACCAACAAAAACGAGAACGTGAACGCGAACAGCACCAACAGCTCTGTGGTCCAACGCATCTCCAGCCACCCAGCCATCATCAGCTCACTCCTCCGATTCAGTCACTAGTCTCTGGACCTTCTCCAGGCTCCGCCTCCACCTGTACCTCCTCCAATCATAGCTCAGCCCAGCCTCCTCAGTCTCCGCCCCCTCATAGGCAAAACCAATCACCAGCTCACAGCTTGCCATCACCTGTCACACCTCCTCTCCCACTACAGGTAAGATAAAAAAAAAACAGTTTAATTTTATTTAACTGGGTGAATTTACCAAACACTTCCCCTTTAAAATAATAACCACACTTTCCTGCATTTATGTTATTTTGCATTCAGCATGTTTTTTATTTTAAATCCTTAAAGTAATGGGACAAATTCACATAAAATAATAACTACATTGTTCTGCATATTTTTATTTTATTTTATTTTACACAAAGTAAAAGGGGAGAAATTCAATCAACACTTCCCATTTAAAATAATAACCGCTTTTTTCTTCATTCTTATTATGACAGACCAGTATTTTAGGTGGTTTTGATCTGGGAAAAAAGCAAAAGCTTTAATGTGATATCAAAATAAATTCCTCATATTTCCAGACAGCCATAGCCAGCAACCTTTCTTGTATTGCTCCTCACCCAGTTCACCTCTTGTTTACACACTAAAAGTGAAGTTATTTAAAGCTGTAATATGAGTTGACTCGTGATGGGGAGCAGCTCCAGAGTGCTGCATGGCACGGGGGCAGTTGAGACCGATCGACTCAATGTAATGACCCCTAAATATGATGTCGCCTCACTTAAAGAACTCATTCTTCTACATTATTCACAACATGTCTGGAAGAATGGAGCTCTGGAGTGAGACGAGGTCTAGGATGAATGTTAGAGAATGGGGCAGTAATTCAATTGAATGATTGAATCTGTCTGGGGAAATCTAGGATATTACAAATATTGTTTCTGGAGGAGGTGCCCGTTTGCCAAGCTTGTCCCTGAAAAAAGAATGAAAATTGAAAGTTTATTGTTAAGAGTTTATACCAGCCATCTTGCTAGCGACAGCAATAGACTATTATTGGAAATGAAGAGCTGCGGAATATTGAATTACGAGTAATGATGCTTTTGGTGTAACTTCATTTGAAACAATTTTATGATAATCACTTATTGACATGTTGTGAAAATGTATAGTATATGCAGCCGATTGAACCAGATTAGTTTTCAACATATTTTATCTTTTGCAAATAACGTCTTGCATTGGGAAGTCCAAAGAACCATATGCCAGTGTTCACTGGATAAGGTGAGTTTGTTGATATTTTATTTTGTTATCTGTTATTGTCATGCAGGCTTATAAAATTGAAACCAACCCCACAGATGGCACACATGAATTGCTGTTGCTTCAGTTAGCTAATGTCTTTTAAAGGGGCAATGTCATATCAAATTAGCCTTGATCCGACATTTTCATTAATGAAAATGTAACTTTCAGTACTCAAAACTACCTCAAAATGAGTATTTATTGAAACTAATCTGCAAAAAATTACTGCAACTTGCTGTAAAACACATATGATAAGAACTTTACCAACATTATCATAAATGATCTGACCCCTTTCAATTTTTACGCAGCTTGTTTTAAATGACAAATATAAGTGATATTTTCATATCTTGCTCTTTTAGTATGTCTGCCTATCCATCTGTTCTTCCTCTTCCTCTTCTCATCTGGCAGTCTGAGTCGGTCACTAATAACATGCCCTCTTCCCTACATGTCCCAGTGGTTTCATTTCGGTTTGTGAGAGGCCAGGGTCGCCTCTCCATCCTTCCCCGCATTCATCAGCGTCACAGCCCTTATTGCTCTGTGCTGTACCACAACCCCACTTCCCCTTCCCCCTTTTTATGGCTGCCATCAGTTTAGTCATTTATTTCACCTTCTGTCCCTCTGCCCAGCCTGTATACTCATCAGCTGGATCCTATGGGGCCCCCACACTTAATGGTCTCCAGAGCCCAGAACTAGTGGTTTCCGAGGGATTCCTTATGAAAGGCCAGCCATATATTTCTTCATTTGCAGTTGAAGCACACCTGATTCGATCTGTCAAGTTATCACCAAGCCTTTCTGATACGTGATTCAGAATAGAGTAAATGGGAGGGAGTGGCAAAGGGGCCTCCAAAAGCTTGGCTTTAATGTGTGATGTTGCACCTCACTGGCTAGATGCATCTTCGGGTCTAGATGTTCGTGAATTGTTTTAAATGTGTATGATATGCGCACAGATTTGAATATATATTTGTGGATGAAGGTCGTGCAGGTGTGTTGTAATTGTGTCTGTTGCAGAGATGTTCACAAGTCTTTAACTTGGAGTCTGAGTCAAGTCTGAAGTCTTTATCGCTGGAGTCTGAGTCAAGTCTCGAGTCTTTGGTCACGAGTCCGAGTCGAGTCTCAAGTCATTTAATGGCTCGCTAAAATAATCCCATTCAGAATCCTCATGTATTGAAATCTTCCTATTTACGAAGCTGTTTTATAGGCTATAGACAAAATATATGATCTATGATCTGCTTTGTAAAAAAAAAAGAGGTGTTAAGACATAAGGTCAATGTACATTCAGCCTGTTATTTATAGGCTGTTTTACATTTACATATTAGTCATTTAGCAGACGCTTTTATCCAAAGCGACTTACAAATGAGAATAAAAATTAAATTAAAAGCAGTCAAAAACTAACAAAAGAGCAACAATATATAAGTGCAAATGACAAGTCTCGGTTAGCCTAATGCAGTACACGTAGCAAGGTGTATGTGTGTATATATATATATATATTATATACACACACACACACTCTCACACACACACACACACACACACACAAAGAAAAACAAGTAGATAAAATAGAAAGCTAGTGATTTTTGTTTTTGTTTTTAAATAAAAAAAATAAGATAAATATAGATAAAGTAGAATTAAAGGGGTCATATGATGCGATTTCAAATTTTTTCTTTCTCTTTGGAGTGCTACAAGCTCTTGGTGCATAAAGAAGATACTGATGATTCAAACGCAGGTTTTGGGCAGTGTAGAGTAGCACTTATTGTTTGTAATTTCTCTGATCACAAATGCAGACAGAGTTTTATGTTTACGTGGCGCGATGCAACGCAACGCAACGCGTAAAAAGACAGTATAAGTATATGTCCCCACTGTATGCAACAAATGCCTCGTTTGAAATTGGTTTTAATGTTTTTGTCTCGTCGCTCCGGCCGGACACGGCATCAACAGTATAGTGAGGGGCGTAACATTTCCGTCACACGCTTGAGGTATTCGGCCAATCACAACGCATTGGATAGCTGGCCAATCACAGCACACCTCGCTTTTTCAGATCGATGAGCTTTGTAAAAATCGACATAGAGGAGAAACAATAATGTACAGTATGTCGAAAATAATGTGTTTTTTTTACTTTAAACCGCATAAACACATTTCATTACACCAAATACACAAAATAATGTTCTTTTTAGCAGCATCATATGACCCCTTTAAAATAGAATAGAAAGTGCTAGAGTTAGAGGCTCAAATAAAGGTGGAACAGATGTGTTTTTAGTCGTTTCTTGAAGATGTTTAAGGACTCAGCTGCTCGGATTGATTTGGGCAGGTAATTCCACCAGGAGGGAACAGTCTTAATTTTTTCAGTTTTAATCCATTACCATGTTCAAAACAGTTTTTCTGTATTCAAATTCTATAATAAGAGTCCAATCAACCATGACACATAATGAGATATGTGACACAGATATTACAAAACCATACAAATAAAGTATGTCTTTATGATATAAGTCAGGGGTATTTAATTAAAGTTCCAAGAGGTGCAGCCTTTACATTTTCTTTTAAGCAGAGGTCTGGACAAAAAAAAACAACAACAACAAAATAAATTTGTACATGTATTGTATTTTTACATTTAGATACATGCGAGGCCACATGACAGAAAAAAATACTGTTTCTGTTCAGGGTAGACTTGTGCTGGTATTCGGTAATGCGATATATCACGGTAACGAATATGCACGATATTGTTATCGTGGGCACTTCTAAATACCGTGAATAATTATATATTACAAATTATTTCGAATTTTGAATGCATTTTTAGAATACTTATCCCATCAACTTGTCAAAATGCACAACATGGCTGTATGCTGCGTGAAAGACGCTGCCACTCTGATGTAAACAAGCGCGGACGAGAACAACATGGCGGAACATGTGACAGACACTTTCACTCTCTGACAGCAGGTGGCGCTAAACTGCAGAAATAATATTAATAATTCATTTAAATGCAGCCGTTACCCCGGAAACCCTGTAAACAAAGCAGCTGCACTACTTCCTGTTTCTGAATCGTGTTTAAATGATTTAAACAGCCATTCAGATTTGTGTATTTGCTATGATGTTCATCACAGCGCCAAATACTTAAATATTTAGACTTAATAGGCAATTTATTTTCAAACTTTTTTTTACATTTTAATCTGGACTACAAAATGCCCTACATATTGTTTGAAAGTGTTTTGATTCTTTATTGTTCGGTCACACTTTACATTAGTTAATTCATTAGTTAACATAAACTGCCAATGAAAAATTCTTCTGAACATTCATTAATCTTAGGTATTCCAATATTTAATAACAGGTTGTTAAAATCGAGAGTTGCAGCGGTGTTATTTAATGAGCTAACATGAACCAAGACTTGTATTTTTTAAACAAAGATTAATAACTTCTGTAGCAAATGTAGCTATTGCTCATTGTGAATGTTAATGCATTAACTAAGGTTAACTAATGAGGTCTTATTATAAAGTGATACCTATTGGTCTTTATAGTTCTTTTGTACTTTAATCTGTGTACAACTTTTAACTTTATACATTTTCTGTATCGCTTTATTGTATTTAAATGTTCAGTTATTTTTGTTATAAGAAAAAAGTTATTAAACCTGCTATACTGTATTATGACAGCACTTTTTTAAACTAAATATCAATATCGTGATAATACCGCATACCGTGATAAAAGCATTAGCAATTAATCACAACATGAAAAATTGATACCGGCATATCCCTAGTTCAGGGTTTTCCTCCTGAAATCTATACTATTTTAATATTTTACTTGAGAGCATTATCTACTAAATACAATGTAGATACAAAAAATCAAAACGTTCTCATCTTGAGCAGAAAAGAAAGATAATTAGCAGTTTCAAAGTTTAAGTTTTATCCTAGCCATCTAACAACAATTTTCCCAATTATTATTAC